GAAGCTGTCAGACTTGGTGACAGCCACTATATATGCTAAACTATCTCTGACTAGTATGAAATTTTGTGGCATATTAACTGAAAGGAAATGATGACAGAGGTGCCTAACAAAAAGCTTCTTCTTAATATGGTCCCACTAAGATAGCATAAATTCTAATTAAGCCATAATCTTAAAAGTATTAAATTTAATCTCCACAGTATCAACAACCACAAAGAAAATAGCAAAAACTATCTGTATAGTTTAAGATGAGATTAAAATCATTTCACTATCGAAGAAAACAAAACCCAAATACATAAAAGAAATGAGGAGCATACACTAGAAAACATAAAAATTAATAGCAAGAGCTAGTCTAAATGTAACAATCAATGTATACACAATAGCATGTACATGTTATGGCATGTGTATTGAGGTCAGAGGACAAATTCCAGAAGTTGGTTCTCTCTTTCTACCATGTGAGTCCATGTAATCAAACTCAGGTCATCAGCTTTGGCAGCAAGTGGCTTTACTTGATAGCATTTTTCAGATGACAAAATTATACAAATGAATAGTATACTAGGAGTGAAAGCAGAAGAAAGTAAGTGACAACATAAAAAGTCAAGATGAAAGGCCTATTTGAATACAACAGTATTCTTGAATCTCAGCTCTAATAGCAGCATCCTAACAGAAACATTGCTAGAACTAACAGTAACATCCTAACTGATACATTGCTAGAAAACACTGAAAGCTGGAAGTACTGCATGTGCACTCATACACACACACACACATGCAACACATAAAAGCTAATTAGCCTGATCTCATCATCACACAAAGCATACAGAATCAAAGCATTACAATGTACCATAAATATATAAAGATGTGTCACACTTTTTAACTTTAAAAATAATAAATGTTTAAATAATATAATTTTATAATATACATTTGCTGTATTTGCTAATGTTTCCTATCATATAAATTAATATAAATTATTACTATTATTTGTGATTAATCTGTATTGTCAACTTGATGGAACTTAGAATCACTATAAAAACACTTCAAAAGCATGTCTATGAGGGGCCGTGTAGATTAGGTTAAATGAAATAGAAAGACCCAGACTAGATTTGGGTGGCACCATTCCATGAACTGGAATCATGGACTGAATAAAAAGGAAAAAGCAACTTAAATATAAGCTCATTACTCTCTGCTTCCAACCTGGGTGACAATATGACCAGACACCTTCTGTTCACGCCATCATAACTTCCCTGCCATAACGAACTATGAACCATAGAACTATACACCAAAATAAACCTTCCCCTTCAAAATGTGCTTTAGCAAGTATTTTTCCACAGTAATGAAACAAATAACTGATGCATTATAATTGTTATTATCAACATCTTATTATTCACACTGTATTTATTAAGACCATATACTAAGAAAGCTGAGCTTCTACCTCCTGGTAATGAAGAAGGCAATTACACTAAAACAACCCATGTGTCAGAAGAGGTCCAGGAATGGAGTCAAGGGAGAATTCTGAGGGCTTGTGAAAACATAAAGAAAGAAAGACAATAGCCTTATGACCTCAGTTTCCTCAAAATGCAGAATTGTACTTGAACTGTTTCCACGTTCCTCCTAGGTATAAAGGATAGGAGTGAGTTTCCTTCCACTTACTCACTGTTGCTACTCAATTAAATGCTTACATTATCTTTTATATGCCTCTATAAAAAAAAAGCTTTTGTCATGTGTGCTTTGTGCTTGTGATGGTATACAGCTTAAACACATGAGAATCTGTTACATGACCTCTCTTAACCCTCTGGCTCTGAGAAGAGTTGGCTATTTCACAAGACTTTAATCAGCTTCGTTTATCAGATCCATTCTCCCAGGGCCCACCGCCTCTACAGTGGTAACAACCTACATGCCAATAATATTACAAACCACAAATAAATGTTTTAAAATAAAGTAAAACGAATCCACAGCTCTAGCAGACTATGCACAAAGAACACCACACCTGGCATAGCATGGTTCCACTGAGGAAAGCAAGTATAAAGTTTATTCAAAATCAGAGAAAGAAGTTACATTTTTACAGGAAAGTGTTAAAAAAAAATAATAAACAGGAATTGAATTTCTTCAGGAAATAATGCAATCCCGAGACAATGTAACATTTTTTAAATGATAAGGGAACACAAAAAAGCTAGAAGTATTTAGCGCAGGGGAAGAATGCCTGACAACATGCACAAGGTCCTGTACTTGTTACCAGCACCACAGAAAAAAATTACAAAAGAACACAATGGAATATTATCCAGCCATGAAACAGAAACAAATTTCTGAGCTACTCAACAACATGGTTAAACTGTGAAGAAATTATATTAAATGAGATAAGGCATACATAAAGGATAAGTTTTACTCCAATTATATAAGGTAAGGCAAGTTCATAAAGACAGGAAGAAAAAGCAGGACCACAAGCAACTAGCAAGAAGGGAGCAAGCAAACAGTTGAAAAGTTCTGTTTGGAATAATGAAAGAGGGGAGTGGAGCTCAGTGCAGCTGAGTTTAATGCCCAGGATTAACAAGGTTGAAGCAGACAGCCAACTCCTCCAAGTTGTCCTCTGCATTCCACATATGCTCCACAGCAAGCAAATTCCCATACATACATACATACACATACATACATACAGTCATATACACAGTAAGTAAATAAGTAGACAAAATAAAACGTTTAATAATTTGTGATACAGATATTTTAAGTAATAAATGGGAAAAACATTTTTAAAAATAAACCTAGAAGTCTTTAGCTAATTAATAATATATTTTTAAAGTAAACATGAAATCTTTTTGAGAAAATAAAAAATGGGAACTTTTGCACATGCGAGAGCATAGAGACACTCTCCTTAAATCCCAGCACTGGGAAGCAGAAGAAAGGGGAACAAGGCCAGCCCAAACTACAGTTCCAGGACAGCCAGAACTACACAGTGATACCCACACACACTATCAGAAATGTTTTAAAAAAAAAAAAAGAATAACAAGTTTGTTTTTAATTTGTAACTCCATTTTTCACTCCCTTCAAAATCATAAAATGTACTATCAGAAAGGAGTTTTCATAGGATTTCTAGGTATTTTGTAACATTGTTACTATAAGAATATACTATGTCCTCTGGGTTGGACATAGAATGTTTCTCTGGTTGTTTTTATGGTTTGAATATTCACTAAGATTCAATCTACATCTCTCTCTCTCTCTCTCTCTCACACACACACACACACACACACACACACACACACACACACTCATTTATCTCCATCTCTTGCCCACCACGATCTGTCTGTCTCTGTATCTCCATCCGGCACCCCCCACGTTTGTGTGTGTATCCATCCATCCGTCTCTCTCTCTCTACAATGAAAGATTATTAGAATATGAGTTTAAGACTTGTGAGCTCCATGATTTAGCCATCCTCCAAAATCTCTGCCTGTGATTTCTGTTCACTGCATGAACTCACCAGGAGTACTGTAGTCTCTTTTAACTTTTCCATAAATTAAGAGAATAAATTAAGCAGGTACTCATTTAATTTCAGTTTTCCTATTACCTACCATGACTTGACCATTTTTCTACTAGGGTATTACTTGTATACTATGGTTCTGAAGTTAGCAGAACAGCCCTCTATCTTACTTATATTTCTCAGTTTCTCATGTGGCTTTTTCATTGTTGCTGATTACTCGGGGTCAGGCATGGTACCCCTATACCTATAATCTGAGCAATTAGGCAGCAAAGGTAGAAGAATCAAGTTTGGGGCCAGTGTGGGTTACTGCTTTAGCTATAGACACTATAACCAAAGCAACTTAACAGAAGAAATTTTTTTTCCAGTTTTTCAAGACAGGGTTTCTCTGTTTATATATACCTGGTGTCCTGGAGCTTGCTCTGTAGACCAGGCTGGACTTGAATTCACAGAGATCCACCTGTCTCTGCCTCCCGAGTGCTGGGATCAAAGGTGTGTGCCACCACACCCAGCTCAGAAGAAAGAATATTATTGGGGGCTTTCCTCCAGTTTCAGGGGGTTCTTAGTCCATGGCCATCACGGTGGGAATATGGCAGCAAGCATGCATGGCACTGGAGCAGGAGCTGATTGCTTACATCTGCTCAACACGACGGAAGCCAAGAGACAGCAAGACTGAGCCTGGAAGGGATTTCTGAATACTCAAAACCCACTCCTAGTGACAGACTTCCACCAATAAGGCCACACCCCTAAAACAAATGTCTAAATATATGCACCTACGGGGCCCTTCTCACTGCAAATACCAAAGTTCCATAGTAAGTTTCAGGCCATCTTCATAAAAAAAAGTGAATGAATTTCTGACTAAAATACAAAGCAAGGGGCTGAAGAGATAGCTCAGAGGTTAAGAGAGAGCCTTTGCTGATCTTCCTGTGGGCCCAGTTTCCATGTCCAGCACCCAAGTGATAGCTTACAACCAGCTGTAATTCCAGTTCTGGCCCACTGCACATACAAATGCAGGCAAAACACCCATTCACACACAATAATAATAATAATAACAACAACAACAACAACAAACTAGTCTTTAAAAGTAAAAAACAAGAAATCCCTCCTCAGCTCAAAAGCAGTTAAACACCCTCCCCCTCCTTCCTCCCAATGTCCTCCAGAGAAAGCGCTATGGTTTTACTATTCACAATTACTTGAAGTAACCTAAAAATGGTACTTCAGGAATACTTTTACAAACCTGACAGTGATTCACACCTGCAACCCTAGCACTTAGTAGGACTTCCACAAGCACAGGGCCAGTCAAAGCTACATAGGAAGTTCCAGACTAACCTGGGTTACAGAATAAGACTGCCTCAATACAAAATGCAAAGAGGAAACCTCCAGAATTAAAAATTGATTTAAAAAAAAAAAGTCAGTAAACTTGACCTATCTTTTACCTAGAAGTATTTCAACATAAAAGTGTTCTACCTATGCATCAGAAAGTAATGTAACACTTTAGGCTTGTTGTTTATACAGCTTAACTCATGAAGGATTTACTCACTTGTGGTCATGATGCTAGGAGGGCAAGAGGGTATCCCATGATCCACTGCCCATCTGTAGGCTCCTTCTCCAACTAAAAAGCTAACAACAAAAAAGTTATTCTTTTAAAAATACAGTGGCATCTTCTACAGTCAGTAAGTTATAGAAGTATATCATATGACAAAGTCTGATAAATACAAGTAAATCTAGAGTTGACGCAAAATCAAAGTTTCTTTTAAATTTTTCCTCATTAGAAGTAACTGATGTAGAAATTGGGAAAGATTAACACAATAAAAAGTGAAAGTAACTTCCTAATAGAAATAAGATTTCTCTTCGATTCACATGTTGTAAAGTTTATTTTATATAATCTATTCAACCAGGTTGAGAGTCTAAATGAATGTCTTCAGACTTATTATTCTAGTCTAGAACTAGATCTGTACAAACTCATTGGCATGCTCACATACTACAGCAAGAAGGCACACAGAATGCTCAGAATCACTTTCACTCTGGTTAGTAAATACTGAAATACATCCCAAAGGGGTTTTTCAGCCCTATACTGCAATTTTTAATATTAAAAAGGGACAGGGCACTTTTGATTTATGGAAGACTAATTTCCACTGACTTCAAAAAGCATGCCAACACAAGGAACAACCCTATTCTCTTAAGTATGGCATGGGGTAAACAGTAATTGTAAGCTGCAAACTGTAACAACCACTTCATTTTCTTCCATAGCCAACTACTTAAAGATCCCAGCCAGCTAGTAACGAAGCCCTTGAATATATGCCTGGTTGTTAGTCTCCTATTCTCTATTTTTTTGTTTCTAATCGTTCCCACATTAAAACTCAAGAGCAGGGGCTGGAGAAATCAATGTTGACAAGCACCTACTGCTCTTGCAAATGACCCATGCTCATTTCCCAGAATCTATGCCCAGAGTCTTACAACTACCTATAACTCCACTTCCAAGAGTTCTAACTCTATCTTCTGACCTTTATATGCACCTGAATTCATGTGCACACACTTCCACACAAACAGACATATATAAATATAATTTTTAAAAAAATATTAAAACAAGCATCAAGAATAGTGATTATTGAAGTCTTTGTTTTCAGTTATTACTTAACACTAGTAAGAAATTCAGCATTTCCATGCAATGATAACTATCAGAAAGCAACTTCTGTGCTAGGCAGTGGTGACTCAGGAAGCAGAGACAGGAGCATCTATGAGTTTGAGGCCAACCTGGTCTACAAAACAAGTTCTAGGACAGCCAGGGTAACACACAGATAAACCATCTCTCAACAAGCCAAAACAAAAAATTAAAATAAATAAATAAATATATTGAGCATGCAAGCAATGTCTGATAATATAAAAAGGTCACATTTAGAAAACTTATGGTATCCACAAAAATGATCCAAATACTCATTTTGCTATAAATACTTTTAAATGCCTGAGATACTTAAAAATCTACAGAGATTAAAATGATAAGAAATATCAGTAGGAACCCAGAAATACAACAAATGGTGTCAAAGAAAAAATTAAGTGATTAATTCCAGTAGCTATTTTCTTTACAATGAGACTACACTGGAGACAACACTGAAGAAAAAGAGAAGAGAGCCAACTGAAATTATCAAATTTGTGCCACAGTCGTCACTGGAAATAAAAGCTGTCACATAAAATTCAGAGTAACTAAAACAAAAACTTAGATTAAGATTTGAGCTATCATTATGCCACCTTAAGCTCTTCCTTCTTCTACAGGAAAAAAAGAACTTGATTTGTTTAAGTCCTTCTACTAATGTTAAAATGTAAACCAGATGGTGAAATATTAAGCAATTAAGCAGAAGTTTTGGGCTGAACCTAGTAAGTTTTCAACACTTCAGATAGTCATCTAGGATTCAATCTCAGTGTCTAAAATCACTGTCATTTGTATACAGTTCTTAACTTTTCATTCTGTCACCATTCATAATTTTGACAAATAAAACCAATCTAGATAGAACATGGGAATGTGACTCAGTTGGTAAAGTGCTTACCGACAATGCCGGATAGTTTTATGTCAAGCTATAGCCACCTGAGAGGAGGGAACCACCACTGAGAAAATGCCCCCATTAGATCAGGCTATAGACAAACCTGGAGGGCATTTTCTTAATTAGTAATTAATGGGGAAGGGCCCTCCTCATCGTGGATGATGCCATCCCTGGGCTACTAGTCCTGGATTCTAATAAGAAAGTAGGCTGAGCAAGCCATGGAGAGAGTAAGCAAGTAAGAAGCACTCCTCCATGTCTTCTGCATCAGCTCCTGCCTCCAGGTCCCTGCCCTGTTTGAGTTCCTGTCCTGACTTCCTATATTACAGACTATGATGTTGAAATATAAGCCTTTTTCACCAAGCTGCTTTTGGTCGTGGTGTTTCACAGCAGTAGTAACCCTAAATAGTATACCTAGCATGCATGAAGTTCTGAGTTTGATTCCTTGATCCACATGAGGCCAGCATGGAATGCATGAGAACTTGTCTCAAACTTTGACATAACTTATGTAATTCTTAAATATTTTAGACCTTTTAAAATATTAATATATAGAATTCATTTGTAGATTTATAAGCATACTAAATGGTAGTCTTTGCTTACCAGCAAAGCTGTCTAGGAATTCACCATCACATGAAATGTCATATTAATGCGCTTGATATCTCAATGTAAAACTTTTGCAAAATATTTATGTATATCATTACATATGCAATACATATACATATATAATGACATGTAGAAAGAAAAATATCACTTCCTAGAATAGTAAGTACCAACATACATTTCCTTTGAGATTTTTTTCTGAATCTCCAAAGAGAAAACTTTAAAGGAGATTCATGTAAACCCATTAATACTACCAGAGCAAAACATGCCCACTACTGTTATTTCTTCCACTAAACCTCAACTTTCCTAGAGTTGCACTGATATCACTGGAACTGTTTTGTATTCGTTTTGTTTGTTTTGCTTGCACTGCTGTGGCTGCACCCACCCCAAGCCCATTCCAGTCAATTCTCAAACAAACCAGACATTAAAGTCCTTGCAAAACACAAATCATAACTCATATCTAGCACTGTTAACAAGGCCAAGAACCTGAAATGAGGTAGTTTACAGGACCTAAGAGAAAACCTACCACTATTTATTATTCTGCTAGATGAATATAGTATTAAACTAATAGGCAAGGACTTATCACTACACCCACAGACAAGTGCACCTCTCAACCCTCATCAGAAAAGCTTCTTTTTGCAATAGATAGCAATTAATGCAATAACCCACACTGGTCACCATGCAGCTACTACAAGATAGCAAGGTGTTCATCCCTAAATGCAACATCTATGTCATACTCTTTTGTTTTAAGGATCAGGCATTATCTCAGAAGAGGGAATGGAAGGAGTATAAGGAGCCAGATGGGATGGATGACTACAGTGAAACTGTTTTCTGGACAGTAGTATAGCAGTTGTACATATGAAATGACAGCAACTGTGACAGCATGCATGGGATCTTCACAAAAGCAAGCCAGACAAAATTCAAGCACGAAGGAGGGAGATAATCAGGAAATCCCACCCCTAGCTGAGAAGCTACTGGCAACTCATAGCTACTTGAAAGGGCAAATCAGTTCTGTAAAGGGTTATGGTCCCTGGGAGGCTATCTATGTTCTAGTAGATGTGGACTCCGTGAGTTTAAAGAAAACACATGAGATTGGGAGGAAATGGGGGAGAGTGGGATGAAGGGAAGGGAATAGAAGGAGAAATAGATTAAAACACATTAGTCATATATGAAATTCTCAATAATAAAATAAAGGGACAAGAGAAAATACTAGGCATTGAATTTAAAAAATGATTTCTATCATTTCATTGTGCATTATAAATACAAGTAATTGAAGATAAATTAGGCTACTAACTAGTTAAAGCTCAGGAACATAAAGTGAAAGAGCTCACTGCACTAGGAACATGCACTAACCTAACAAAAACTGAACTTGTGTAAGAGGGTGATGTATATATGTGTAATACATGTATAATGTACGTAGTGTGCACAATGTGTATGTAATGTATGTGATGTGTATATATAATGTATATGTAATGTGTATATGTAATGTGTGTGTAGTATATATGTGATGTACATATAATGCATGCGATGTGTGTAATGTGAATGTAATATCTATTATGTCTACGTGGTATGTAATGTGTTAGGTATGTGTGAAATGTGAAATGTTGTAATATGTTCATCACTTGGGAGACTAGGTCAATAGGGTTGTGAGTTAAGGCCAGCCTAGGGTACATGGAGAGATCCTGTATTAACTTTTTTGAGATACATACTAAGATATTTATAGTTGAAATTATATAATAATATCTTGGGTTTCTTTCAAGGTAAATGTGTAAGTGTTGTACATGAGTAAAAATGGCAATATATTCATAATTACTAAAGCATACAGTGATTTATTAATTTCAGTGCTATAATAAAATGTCATAGAGTACGTAGCTTAAAACAATAATGTATTTCTTACAGTTTTAAAGCTAAAGAATTTAAGGTCAAGAAGTTAGAATTTGTAGTGTGTAGTAAGGGTTTAGTTTTCTGGTGTAGAACCTGTTGGCTGTATTGTATGATGAGAGGGCAAAGCAGTCCATTGGACCCTCCTAGGGTGCTCTCTGGGCCTAATCACCTAATCATCCCTTCATAGGCCACACCTCCTAACACCATCCTAAAACTGTTCAGAATTGGATTTCAGAATATAATTTTTTTTCAGATTTGGAGGACATAAAATTTCAAATCAAATTGATCACATAATTTTGAAAATTTTTGTTATTTTTAAAAAATAATGAAGCATCCTCAGCAGTTAGCTCAGTAAGTAAAGTTTTGAGTCAGAACATTCAAGTGAAAGGCCAGTATGGTACTACATGCCTGTAATCCTTACTCTGGGGGAAGGGCACAGAAACAAATTAATTCCTGGCTGGATGATTAGTCATTTTTAAATGATGAGGTGGTAGTTCACTGAAAGACCTTGACTCAAAAATGAAGAAAAAAAAGTGATAGAGGGAGACACCTGCCATTGACCCCTAGTCTTTATGTCACATGCAAGAATGCAGGAACATGTAGTATCAGCCAATTATCATTACACAGATTAAGTACTAAACTTGAGGTCCTAACTCTTTCACTAAGGAGCATATTGCATGACTGGGAAGTGTCACATCAGTATGTAAGAAGATATAAATCATACTATAAAATATTATGGGGACTAGGTGAGAGTGAATGGATTTCTATGGATCAAATTAATAGAATGCACCTTTTTGTACTTCCCCTACATGGGTGCAGGCCACAGCAGTCAGAAGTGCTAGTGACCTACCAGACAGCTGGCTACACCAGATGGAAAAACAGATGCAGGCCACAGCATTCAGAAGAACAGAGACCCACAGCTGCACCAAAGGCCAAGCTAACTGCCAGAAGGCTCACTCCCAACTCAGAGATTTCTGACTCGATCACCAGAAATTCAGGTACAAAGACCAGAAGACCAAAGAGGAAACAGAAACTGAGGAACAAAACACCCATCCCACAAGGACAAACTCAAGTCAGCACCTATACCTATTATCATCCCAAACCCAGATGCCTAAATGCCAGTGTAAGAACACAATAAACAAAAGTCAGAACGATATGGCAACAGCAGAGTCCAATAAGACAGAGTCCAGCAAGACCTGAATATTCCAACACAGCTGAAGCACAAGAAAAAGACCTTAAATTCAACTCTATGAAGATGACAGAGGTCCTTAAAGCAGTCAAGGACAAGACAAAAAGTTAGAGGAAATCAATTAATCACTTAAAGAATGCCCCCCCAAAAAAGATATAGTGTCTTCATAAAGAAATCAGAGATCTCATACTGGCAACTTAACAGCACTCCTAAAAGCTCCTGAACAAAAGAAGCAAAATAAATCCAAGAGAAGTAGACTGGAGAAAATAACCTGAGGGTGAAATCAATAAAGTAGAAACAGAGAACAATACAAAGAATCAATGAAACAAGGAGTTGGTTCTTTGAGAGAATCAACAAGATAGACAAACCCTTATCCAAACTAACTAAAAGACAAAGAGAGAATATCCAAATTTTAAAAAAAAAAAAATCCTAAACAAAAAGTGGGATATAACAGCAGATACAGAATAAACCCAGAGAATAATTTGTACTCCACAGAATTGGAAAAACTAAAAGAAATGGACAGCTTTTTGGATAGATTCCACTTATGAAAGTTAAATCAAAATCAGATAAATTAATTAAATAAAGCTAGAAAACCTCAGGAAATAGAAGCATCCATTAAAAGTGCAGTAAACCCCCCCCCCAAAAAAAAAGCCTAGATAGATGATTTTAGCACAGAGTCCTACCAGACTTTCAAAGAAAACCAATACCAATATTCCTCAATTATTCTACAAAATAGAAACAAAAGGAACATTCCAAATTCATTTTATAAGGCCACAGACACTCTGATGGCTAAAGACAGAAAAATTCAACAAAGAAAATTGGGAAATTCTCAGAAAATTGGGAATTCATATACTTCACGACCCAGCTATACCACTCATAGGCATATTCTCAAAGGATGCTCCATCCTATCACAAGGACACTTCCTTAACTATACTCACAGTAGCATTACTCATAATAACCAAAAAATGGAAAATAACCTAAATGTCCCTCAACCAAACAATCAATAAAGAAAATGTGGTACATGTACACAATGGAGTATTACTCAGCTGTTAAAAGCAATGACATTATGAGATTTGCAGGAAAATGGATGGAACTTGAAAAGAAAATCATTCTGTGTGAGGTAACCCAGACCTAGAAACACAAAGTATGTACTCACTTATAAGTGTTCATTAGATGTACAGTAAAGGTTAATCATGCTATGGTGCAATTGTGGATTAACTAGGGATAGATGGGGTTGGGAACAGACAGGAAGGCTCAACATGGGGAGTAGACAGAATACTGAGAGAAATTACTGAATTGGGAAACATTTGGGGGATGAAGTAGAACCGAGTGCAATAGAATCTATCAGAGTAACCGTAGCAAAGACTCCTAGTAAAGGAGGACACAAGTTTGAACCAGCCATATTCTGTAACCAGGCAAGGTCTCAAGTGGAGGGACTGGGACACCAATCCAGTCACAAAAACTTCGACCTACCTACAGTCTGTCCTGCCTGCAGTGTTCTGGGACCAAAGCCTAGCAGAAGTGTCCTCAAAGAGACCAGAGAGACTTAATCCAGCAGCCAATGTGAGCAGATGCAGAGTCCCACAGCCAAACATTAGGTGGAACTTGGGAATCTTGTGGAGGAGAGGCAGGAAGGATCAGAGAAATCTAAGGTATCAGGGACACCACAAGAACAGGGTACACAGAATTAACTGGCCAGGATTCATGGGGGCTCGCATAGACCTGGGAGCCGGTATAGGTCTGACCTAGGTCCTCTGCATATATGTTATGGTTGAGTAGCTTGGTGGTCTTGTAGGATTCCTTACAGTGGAAGCAGGGGCAGTCACAAACTCTCTTGACTACTTATGGGACCCTTTTCCTCCTACTGGGTTGCCTTATCCACCCTTGATGTGATGGTGTGTACCTGGTCTTATATTATGCCGTATTTGATGTCCCTGGGAGGCCTGCTCTTCTCTTAGGGGAGTGAGAGGTTGTGTGGATCAGGGGGACAGGGGAGATGATGGGGAGAGGAAGGGAAAACTGTGGTAAAGATGTAAATGGGATAAGAATAATTTTAAAAAAAAAATCTTAGAAGCACCTTTCCTTTAAAAGAATGAAATTCAAAATAACAAAATATAAGATAAATCTGGTTAAATTAACATAGGGGATTGGAAGAATCTATTTTTAAACTATTATAGTTATACAGGTAAGCTTCCCAGTAGCTAAAGATTTTTCACTACTAGGCAAAATAGAGTAACAGAATAAACTTACCATCTTGTCTGAATCAATGAGGAAAAGAAGCAAATAAGAAAATAATAGTTTTATTAGATACCAGGCAACAAAGTACTGTTACCCTGTAGAAAAGGAAAGAAAAACATAAAAACCACCTTACTGGACTCAGAGAGCTCACTTGTATGAGTTCCAGAGTTCTAGGCCAACAGTCCAGTGGCCCAGCAGTCTGTAAAGCAAAGAGATGCAAGGAACAGGACCACCCGAAGCCAAAGTGGCCAGAGGTCAAAAGGCAAAGTTCAACAGAGAAAACAACTGCAGAGAGAAGGCTCCAGAGAGCTGAAGAAAGCACCTCTGTAGTAGTTTGCTGAATGGAGATCACAGCCTAAGGAAGGAAATTATCCAAAGCCCTGAAACATACAACCTGCCAATTGTAAAGGAAACAACCCAAGTTCAGACAGAGCCATGAACACCTTAGGCTCCCACCAACCAGAGGTAACTTCCTCACTCTCACTATCTGCTATAGTATTCGTAAGACTTTTGCCTTATAATAAGGCAAAATTAGCTCCAGGCTAATGTATTCTCTAGGCTTGAGAAAATCTAAAGAAAGACTTGAAAAGGACCAAACTTTTTAAATAATTTAGCTATATCCTGTCTACTAAAACATAAAAACATTCAAAGACTGAATCCCCTTAACTTGCAGGTCTGTCCTACTGACCTTTTTATCCTTTTTATCTCCTCTCAGTGAATAAGTTAAAAGACATTGTTAATTATTAGTACTAGATAATAGTTGCATCATGACTATTTACAATATGCAATGTATATTTTTCTAAGAATGTCCCAAGAGTAATCACTTTAAAAACTGGGCTCCAGTACATATGACCGGTTATGAATTTCACAACAAAATAACCCTAACTGATCATTCAGTGACACAAAAATCCTCTCAAGAATTAACGACATGCACAGAAGTTAACTCTGATCTCCTTTGATCCATGAGATTCTATTCTATCTGGAGCTGATAAACTGTAGAGTGTTCTACCATTACAAAACAAAGTACCTCTTAGTCTAAAGATATGTGACCCAATGGTACAGAACCAATAGTATCAATCTAGCCCCCTAAGGATTAAAGCAGCCTTCAACACTAACAACCCAAGACAGAAGTAGAGGAACAAAGTGGTTACCAGGGAGGAATTCTGCCTGCAGAGAGCTTGCCCTTCTGCCCTTCACACAAGAGTCTGTTTGCAACTGAGACTGGATTCTTGATTCCTACAAAATAAAATTGGCATAAAAAAGAAATCAAAAATGTATTCACACTTCTCCATTGTTTGTTTTGTGCTGTTTCAATAAGACAACTTTAAAAGACCTTGGAAATTCTTTACAGACACCAAATGTATCAACACAAATTTAACATATACACAATAAAAACTTATGAAGTAGTCTATAGCAGCAGTTTGCAACCTGTGGGTCATGATCCCTTTGGGTGTTAAATGAGTCTTCCACAGTGGTCACCTAAGACCATCTGCATGTCAGATACTTACATAACAATTCATTAACAATAGCAAAATTACAGTTATGAGGCAGCAACAAAAATAATGTTATGCTGGGGGGGGGGGTCGCCACAACAGGAGGGACACTATTAAAGACTTGCAGCATTAGAAAGATTGAGAATCACTGGTCTTGGGGAACTCTGACCTGAAACTAAGAAGTGTTTTAATTTTTAAACACACTGGTGATATGGTATACATCTAACATACATTCAGGCAAGAATTGCTGGGTCATTTGAGAGCTCTCCATATTGATTTCTACAATGGTTGTATTAGTTTGCACACCTACTGTGATTAAGGGTTTCTTTCTCTCCACGTCCTCTCCAACATTTACTGTAATAATTTGGACGATAGTCGTGTTGGTTGTAGTGAGGTAATATCTTAAAGGCATTTAATTTTGCATTTCCCTCATGGCTAGGGATATTGAACAGAAAGCTATTGGGCATTTGTATTTCTTTTTTGAAAACTGTCTCTTTGGTTCATTTGTTGACAGTGACTTTATTCCTTTATTTAAATTCTTCAATTCTTTGTATATGCTGAGATTAGCCCAGTGTCAAAGTGCAGCAGATAAAGACTTTTTTAACCATTCTGCTAATCAGCAGAATGCCTTTGATCCCAGCACTTGGGAGGCAATGGCAAGCAGATCTCTGTGGTCTACAGAGCGACAGAATGAGTTCCAGGACAGCCAGGGCTACAAAGAGAAACCCTGTCTCATATTTAAAAAAAAAAAAAAAAAAGAGGAGGGAGGAAGAAAAAAAAAAAACATTATCATTCTGTGGGCTGTTAAAGCTATTCAACAAAGTCCAAGAATGGAGTCATGTAAAAAGAATGCTGAATGCTTGTTAGAAAACTCTGTGAAAACTAAACAAAAGTCTTGTGTGGTGGTTTAAAAAAAAATGGCCCCCATTAGGAGGTGTGGCCTTGATGGAGGAAGTGAGTTATTATAGAGGCAGACTCTGAGGTTTCATATGTGTTCCAGCAATATCCAATGTCTAACACCAGTTCCTGCTGCATTCAAGTCAAGTTGTATTAGCTCTCAGCTCCTTCAGCAGCACATGCCCACCTGCACACTGCCATCTCCTGCCATGGTCCTAATGGACAGAACCTCTGGACTGTAAGCCACGCAATTAAATGTTTTCCTTTGTAAAAGCTGCTATGGTTACGGTGTCTCTTCATAGCAACAAAAACCCTAAGACAGTCTTGTGACCTCAGTTTTTCAAAAACACATAATTGTTCTTGGAATATGCCTTCATGTCCCTCCCAGGTGCAGCAGATAGAAATGAGTTTTCTTTAAACTGATTATTCATTACAACTGGCTATTGTTATTGCTTATAAGCCTCTATGGAAAAACATTTTTTCCACATTCAGCTTGTCCTGGTGATTATACACTTTACTCATGGGATTTTTAAGCTTCAGAGTATAAATTGTCTAAGGCTCTAAATAAAGTTGGTTATTTCCTGAGACTTAGTCCACCTCAATTTAGGCTGCATTCTCCCAGGTCCCACCACCTTTAGAGTAGTAAACACTTAGCTACATGGAAACTGACCCCAAGTCTCAAGAAATGGGACTGCATGAAATAAAAACATTTCTGTACAGGGGAGGTGTAGCAATCCACATCTAGGACTGAGAAACTCTTAGAGAGAGCTGATCCTTGTGCAGGAACCTTAACCAAAAGGAAAGACATTCTGGAGCCATTTATTTTTCATATGCTTAAATATTTACAATCCTCTTCCTAAGTTATATCAGTTGTAAGAAGTAACTTAGGAACTAGTTCAGACCATATCATGTTTGCCACCCTGAACAAGAACCTGAACTCAATTTCTAGAACCCACACTTTTAAAATGCCTGTCATGGTAGTACTGGGAGGTCTAGGCAGGCAAATACTCAAGAGTTCCATGGCCATACCCTAGTATCCCCAGCAAGTTCCAAGCCAGTACAAGACCTTGTCTCAAAAAGATGTTAGAGGGTACCTGAGAAATGATACCCAAGTTAAAGCTCTGAGTTCCATATATGAACCCACACATTCACACACAGGTGTTTAATACATATATGAACATGCACTCATGTACACAAAAAGATGATAATGGGCCAGGGAAAATCCTATTCATCATGAAATATTATTCTCTCTTATTTCATAATCCTAAATTTTTTAAAAATTTTAACTTTTATATTTGAATTTGTTTATACATTTAGCATTCATCTTGCTTCATAGCATTCAAAGCTGATCTTTGCAACTATTCTATGACATTTTCTCTATTATTCTCATATCTCTAATTCATACACTTTCCCGTTTTTCATACTTTATTCCTTCTTGGTCCCTATCCTCATTCCCTTTCTCTTTTTGATTATTATTGTCTTCTCTGAAATTTATTACAATTGTCAAAACTACAAAAACAAAGAAATAATATTAAAAGCAGTTATAAGAGACTCACAAAAACAAACATATATGAATGCTGGATCTCCTAATAGTTCTGACAGGAATTCAAAGAATGATATTCATCAAGCCCTGAAATCAAAAAACTGCCAACCAAGAATGTCAAGTCTACATAGTAAGTTCTAAGATAGCTAGGCCTACATAATGAGACACTCAGAGGGAAAAAGTTAATATTGTGGAGTAATCCCAACAAAATTATTTCAATGATATGCAAACACTTTCAAATACAGAAAACAGTCGCTAGTCTGGAGTATGAGGCCAGCTATGACCGGATACACTAAAAAGACATTAAAAAGACATTTCTCATGAACTACACTGAATCTGCCAATAAAATCTTGTAAGGAAGGGAATATCTTTTTAATAAAGGGCAATAAGCCATTTCAATCCCCTCCCACACACACACCAAAAAAAAAAAAAAAAAAAAAAGTAAATGTTAACCCCTAACACATACAAAAGTTATTGTGAACTTGGTAAGAAAACTAAATGCTCAAGGTAAAAACAACAAAAAGTAAGAAAACTAAGGGAGACTGGCTTCCTAACGTTGGATAAGTACAACTTTTTTTTTTTTTTTTTTTTTTTTTTTGTTTTGTTTTGTTTTGTTTTCCCCAGATAAGGTTTCTCTGCAGCTTTGGAGCCTGTCCTGGAACTTGCTCTAGAAGCCAGGCTGGCCTGGAACTCACAAAGATCCACCTGCCTTTCCCTCCTGAGTGCTGGGATTAAAGGTATATACCACCACCACCCATCAAGTACTTCTTCTTAAAAATATAAGTAATAGTGGTAAGACAGAGAGAGGGAGGGAGGGAATGAGGGGAGGGAGGGGAGGGGAGGGGAGAGGAGGGGAGGGAAGGGGAAGAAAGAAGTAGGGGCTGAGAGATGGCTCAGCAGGTAAGAACACTGATCTTTCTGTGGACCTGGGTTCCATCCCATATAACTCATAACCATCTTTAATTCCAATCACAGGAATGCCCTCTTCTGGCCACTGTAGGCATTGCACACATCACACACACACACACACACACACATATGGGCAGTCAAAATACCCATACACATAAAATAAAAATAAAACTTAAAAAAAAAGTTGACAGCTTAGATGCATTATCATAGAAAACCTGCTGACTCAAAGATAGCACTAAGGGAGTGAAAAAAAAGTAACAGCTTAGAAGGAAATTACCCATCATATATGTATCTGAAAAGGGATTTTTAATTAAATATACAAAATATACAAAACAATAAAAAAGAATAACCAATAAAAATGTTAAGAAGTTATAAATGAAAACTTTACAACAAGGATTTCTAAAGGTTCAATGGATAGACGAAAAGGCACTTAGTATTGCTAGTCATAAGAAAACACAAAATAATATTTTATAGAAATACTAAAATGACTTTAATTAAAATTACTGAAGAATAATAAGGAAAATTAAGAAAATCACAAAAGATGTAGTTATTGAAATGTTCATACACTACTAATAGGAATATAAATGCAGCATCTACTTTGAAAACTAGCAGCAGACACTAGCAAATCATTAGCATACCTATTTAAGGAGTACGGTTTTTCTGCCCACCGCCGCTGGTCTTGTCCCGCCACCGCGCCAGCCCCAATTAACACACACTCTGTATATGATATAATTCTGTTGGCCAGTTACTAGTTTCTTATTGGCTAGCTCTGTCATAATTATTAACCCATTTCTATGTATTTCCACGTGGTCTTACCAGCGAGAGGCAGCTGGTAGTTCTATTCTCTCCAGATTCTCCATCTTGGCCCTGCTTACTACTTCCTCTTTCCTCCTCATCTCCTAGTCCCTTCTATCTTCCTTTCCTATTGGCCAACAGTGCTTTATTCATTAACCAGTATGAGCAACATATATACATAATGGCATCTCCCATCATACCTAAACACTTTATGGCAACCCCTAGAATATATTCAAGAAAAATGAGTACATATTTTTCCAAATCACATGTAAAAGGACACTGATTACAACTTTATTGAGAACAGTCTAAAACTAGAAACGGTGCAAATGTCCCAAGGAATAGTAGGTGAAATAAATTACAGAATGTCTAAGCAATGAAATGATAAGCAATAGAAAAAACAATGTTAAGAAGAATCAAAAACAGATACAGAGTTGTCGCATTCCACTAACAGCAACTTCAGGAGCAAACAAATTAGTCCAAAATTAAACTATGAAGGTGGGAAATGAACAGTAAGTGTGGACTAGCAGTAATCGTGCAAATGCCCTATGCATGGATGCTGTGTGGTATTGATCACATTCTGACAATAAAGCTTGCTTTGA